AGTAAGGTGAAAAATAACATTATTTGTTGTTCCATATCTGTGGTGACGATGTTCTTAAAAACAGTCACCCAACAATTTTGAGATACCCTCTACAGATCCTTTCTTCTGTCTTGGAACTTGGTCTCACCTTTCTTTCCATGTGCTTGGCAACACAAGTGTAGGGGATCTCATGCCTGGGAGAAGCTAAATGTCTGCATTTAGGGACCCAGCAAGGGTCAAGAGGCCATGGGAGAGGATGCTTATAAATGGAGTAAATTTAGACCTGGATCACTGCTTGGTCCCTCCTAGTCCCTTCTTGTGGCTTCTGCATTTTGCTGTTGGTGGGTTTTGCTTTCTTGTTATGGTTTTAAGTCTGCCTGCGGATGCTGGGATCTGTGTTTAAGGCCTTCTATTTGTGATGGCACTTGGAGAAGATATCCTGTGGTCCCTTCTGAGCTTTATCTATTATGGGATTGAGTCCGATCTCCTCCTGTCCCAAGGCGTGACTCGGGAGCAGCTGTTCTTCCACCATCACGGGGAGATGTGTAGCCCTGATCAGAGGAAGCATGTACTTACAAAGGCTAAAGGAAACCCAGCAAAGTCTGAATTGCTTTTGTTCATCCATTACGCCTCCTGATGTTCCCATTGCCTGAGAGGACACAGACGTCTGCCTGGAGCCTGGATGAAAGCAGCTCTTGCTTGCAAAGTCAAGCGCCCTGCTAGGACACAGTGTGCCTAGAATGTCACTGTGTAACTCCCCTTGCAGCTGAGCCTTGGCTGTGCCGTCCTTGCTGCTCTGTGATGACTCTGAGGCACATCTGGAATTAGCAGTGTTTTGTGTTTTCTTAATCCCTCTCTGCCACTTATCTCCTGCTTGCCATTTTCCTGTTTCTCAAATGCATTTTTAGTGTCCTTCTACTGATCAGAAATCAAATTACATTCTGAGATTGGCACTGAAAAAAATCCCTCTTCAGTGTTTGCACTTTACAGACCTGTTCTGATCAGCTGAAGTGCCTGCTGATTCTACACATGCTGTGTGCAGACACAGAACTAACTGGGGTGGGAGCCGGGCTGGAGGAACCCCCGTCCAGTCCTCATAACCGCTTCCGAACTTGGGTGAACTTGTGCTTTTTCCTCACTTGCCCACTTTTTGGGGACCTTCACCCAGCCAGCCCCAGTATTTTATTTATATTTCAGAGTATCCGACTCACAATAAAACATAAGTGCGGCAAAGCTCGCGGGTAACAGATAAAAACCCTGAACTAGGAACCTTGACAGGCTGGAGAGGTGGGCCCGCGTGAACCACATGAAGTTCAACAAGGCCAAGTGCAGGGTCCTGCATGTGGGTCGGGGCAACCCCAAACACAAGTACAGGCTGGGCGGAGAGTGGCTTGAGAGCAGCCCTGAGGAGAAGGACTTGGGGGTACTGGTGGATGAGAAGCTCAACATGAGGTGGCCATTTGCATTTGCAGTCCAGAAAGCCAACTGTATCCTGGGCTGCATCAAGAGAAGTGTGGCCAGCAGGTCGAGGGAGGGGATTCTGCCCCTTTACTC